AATCACCACAACACATCATGAGTCCAACTTCAGTAAACCTTTTATAGTTGAAAGGACATTAAGGAAACTAAGAAAATGATGCAGGATATTCATTAAAAGGGATTGTAACAATATTCTCTTTAGAGAGAAAGCTCCTGATGTGAACAATAAGATTTATATTAACAGCATTGACAGGATTATACATCAATAGGTCAGAAACAAATGTTTTAGCTTTGAAAACCATCATAGGTTGATTGAATTTATTTGAGATCTAAATTCAGGCTTGCTCACTTGTATTCACAGATGGCAATAGTAATTCTCAGATTTAAGGCTATAACATTCATTTACTGTGTTTGACTGTAGCCAGTGTTTCAGTCAACTTCTCAAGGGTTTTGAACTATCACTAGGATTATTGAAAAATTTCAGTTCATAACAATGATAAAGTAATAGTCACAATACTATCATGATTATAATTATTACTATATTGATAATACAATTCTTGCTAAGAGATAATCTACTCAGCACTACAACTTACAATATAGATAACATGTAAAGTGGCCACAGAGCTGATGTTTGGCATACAACCATGGGAACCAAGTTCCATCCCCAGAACCTATATAGATAAGGCACTATACCTATTGTTATTGTAGACTAACTTTTCAGCTCCAGTACAGTGATAGACAACAAGTGGATAGAACCCAAAGAGCAATACCCAAGTGTCCAAGTGAACTACCCATGCGTGCACCCACACACCAGGCACACAGTTGTCATAGCCAAAATCCAGACAGATAGTGTCAACATAGGAAGGAAAATCTGTGTCCTTGATTCTGTATATATTTATCGTGATATTTTGGGTCACAGAATTATCCCATGCTTTCATTTTGAAGTGGAACAGATATTTTAGCATAGTGCATTTTCTAATATTAAAGTCATCTAGAATTTTGTATAGTGTGAGGCAAAAGTGTTTTTGAAAAATCATGTCTGTATTGAATGACAATAGATCTAGAAGCAAAATTCTTTAATAATCCATTATTAGAATAATGCCTGTCCTACTATCTGATGGTTATTAAGCAAAGTTTGTTGAATGTAATAACTTGAAGAACACATAGCAAAAGTTTTCTCCACTTTGCTATAAGAAACATATTGATGCCCCATCAATGCATTTGATAAACTCATTGATTTATGAACTTCTTATTTCCTGTGATTAGAAAAGTCCATGTTATCTCTCCCATCATAAAACCTGTTTTTCGGGGGACGTGAATTTGTGTTCTTAGGCATGATTACACAAATTTGACTTAGATAATATCATTCCTTCTGGAGAGGTTGCTATGGTTTTGAACTGACAAGATAAGATAATTGAGATATACAAGTTGTTCTATCAAGAATATACCTATAAATGGGCAGCTTTAAGGGCACTTAAATCTGAGCAAGTACAGTAAAGAAGAAAAACAGAAGCAAAATAAAGAAGCAGGAAGGGAGAAGAGTGGTGTGGTAGATGCAGCCAATGGCCATGTCACCTTTGGCAGGATACATGCCTACAACTAAACACAATGGATGTGTTTAGGCAAAAGTTGGAAAGCATGGTTGAAAACAAAATGCAGCTTTGCTGCTCCCCTCAAGCTCAACTTTCTAGCTGTACTGAGATGGGCATAGCAAAGAAAGACTGCAGTCTCTTAGCTTAGAATGATGAGCATGAAAAGTCCCCACCCAAAGCCAAACCCAGTCAAGTTACTTTCAAATGGAGATTGGAGAGACACTTATTCTTTACTAATTGAACTCAAACATCACATTACAGAAAAAAAGCCCATCATTTTCATTAGCATGTTACATTGCAACCTTTGAAAAGATATTGCCTGTGATTGTGCAACCCCCCACCCCCATCTTCTCTATGCTCTTTCCCTCTCCAGCGAAGTGTGTACTCAGGATTTAAGGAGCACTCGAGAGGTTCCTAGAAATAGAATGAATGGTGCATGGCAAGATGACTGCATAAAGTGTTCCAGCTGATCAAAGAGTGATTTCATTTGCCACTTTTCCGTTTATAAAAACAAAACAACAAGAACAAGCCAACATTTTGAGCGAGTAAAATCAGAAGAGGGCCATTGCTTACACAGATTTTACACTGTACCTGAGGGTACACAAGAGCTATGTTTTGGTTTTGCTTGTCGTTTTGTTTTTTTTTTTAATTTTTCTTGCCCAGACAAAGCTGACTCTTACCTTTTTAGTGGTAACTGGTTTATTGACTGCTAATGCTTTAAAAATAAGATTAGATCAGGACTATGGTCTTTATTGCAAGGAAGATATATGCCCCTTGTGAATTCTAGTGGCTTGGCAATCGTAACCTCAGCAGACATAACATTGATGTATTCCGTGTTGCTGAACAGCATGGTAAGTGTTTAAAATGCTGTGAAGAGCCTTATTGCATCGAAATGATACAATCTAATATGAGACTGCACCTCAATGACTACATCCTTGAGCCTACCCTTCCACAGAATACTAAAGGCAAAGCCACTTTATTTTAATATCTCACAGGAAGGAATCATTCCTCACTTCACAACTGAAACAGTGAAAACATAAAACTGAGCCTGGATTGTAGAGAAATAGAAATTGTAACATTCAGGACATTCTCATTAGCAGTATAGGGAGAGTTGCCTTTTGTAACAGGGAATCAAAATGACAGCTTGCTTCATTCCTATTGTCAGAGCAACTTTGGCCCTTTGGAGAGTTGATGGGAAGGGTCCACAAGTCCAGAAATGGACATGCTACAGAAAGTCAAGGTGCATGTCCCTCTCCCCAGATATAAAAACTCTCCCTAATTCTCAGTATGTATCCCACAGGAACCTCTTAATCAATCACAATTATTACTAAATTCACATCCTCCCTATGAGTTATATACACCAATGAAATTCCAAAAGATCATCTCTCACCAGTTCCAGGTATCTTAAACAAGATATCTTCCCACCTGTCTCTTTAGGACAGTGGTTCTCAATCTGCGGGTCATGACCCCTTCTGGGTGGACTGACCTTTTTCACAAGGGTCTCCTATTAGATATCCTACATATTAGATAGTTACATTACAATTGTAACAGTAGCAAAGTTAGTTATGAATTTTATGGTTGGGGATCACCAAAATATGAGGAACTGAATTAAAGCGTTGTAGCAATAGAAAGGATGAGAACCACTGCCATAGGATGTCATTACTAAACCAGGCAGGGTACCTCTCAGTATGATGGAACAAGTCTTACCAGGCTGCTGAAAGGTTTCCAAGAACATAGGACTTACAAATGTCAAATCCAGGTCATTCTAAGGCAAATCAGAATGGCTGGCCATTATTCTACTGGTAGCCAATTACCCAGCCGAATACATCACCTGAGGGAACTGCATATGGATGAGCCTACTTTAGTTTTCTGTAACAAAATATCATAAATTGAGTAGTCTATCTATGATAGGAATTCTTTCTAATAGTTATAGAAGCTGCTCTTCCGAGATTAGAGGGTCAGCACTATTTGGTTCCCTTATAGCTCCTTCCAGGAATCACCCCCATTGACTTGCTATTTCCACAGGTCATGAAGCATGTTTTAGCTTACTATATGTCCCCTTTTGGAGGCACTATCTCTTCAAAGGCTACATCACAGTTAAGACATTACAGACGCTAGTAAAAACAATGATGTGATAACTCTACACATGTATCTAGTACTGCATGGGCAACCGAAAATGCTCAGAAAACTGAAAAGTTGGAGCAGATACAGCAATATCCTGGGTCTCAAAAACACCCTCCTCAGTTAAGTTAATTTATGCATATTTTTGATATCCATAGATGAAAAAAAGTGTACATCTTATCCTTTGGAATTGAGCTAGGCATGTCAATAAGGGTGCTGCCCTTGAAAGTACTAATGGGACGTTTTTATTTCTCACTTGAGGTCTACGTTATGGACTAGGACACTGATTGAAATAAAATATACTGCTGTCAGGCCTTACAGCATTGATTTTATGAATGTTTAACACGACTGAGTCTGTAAAATAGAATTGATTAGGGTGTATTTTTTCTAAAATCTTATTAAAAAGTGTCCACCCATTCATGCAAGTGGTGAGTCCATATGAGTCAGCTTTCTTATAAAAGAAGATTACATAAAGCTGTGCACCCTGCTGAGCTGCACCTGCTGGTTTGATTTGTTAACTGAAAAAGAAAATTTAGTAGAAAGACCATGTGATATGAGTCATGTAATCTGCTTTTAGTTCACTTACAAATGTGCATTGTTGGTAGAAAAACTAATATGTGGCATTATGGATGTTTCTCAGAAAGCTAAAAATAGATGCAGCATAAGAACTATAAGCATGTCACCAGGTCCATTATCACCTAGGGATGAAGTTAGTGAGATGGTCGGATGTCAGTAACCCCATAACTCCCGCAGTACTAACTACAATGCCTATTTAGAATCATTCTTCATGGTCATCAGCAGACATGAGATACATGAACAAGGGAACAGCATCAACCCACAAAAAGGAAGCATTCTGTTACTTTAGACCACTTGTTGAACCTGGAACATATTACGCTAAGGAAAAATATGTAAAAAAGGAAAAGAGAAATACTATACGTTTTCATTTACACATGGAATCTAAATTATTGAACTCAGAAAACAGGATGAAAATCAGGAGAAGCTTGGTGGGTTAGAAGGGTGAGGTATGAATGGGTCCGTGGGTTACAGTTGTACAGAGTATTAAACTGAAGAAGAAACATAGATATTCTAGACTGATGGTTCAGCATAGTAACAATATTTATAATTGTAATGTGTGCTTTGCCATTGCTAAAAGAGTAATTTCAAATGTTCTCACTAAACAAAAAGTATGTAAAGTTAGCCTGATATAATTGCAAACGACTGTACTATAGCTTATAGATTGTAACTGTTTGAAATAAGAATAATACATCTTAAAATGTACATTTATTGCTTTTACAAGGATTATTTCTCATTCCTACAAAAGATCAAAGAGATAAAAAAAGTGAGAGAGAAGAAAATATCTACATACCTGCTACCGTAACTTTTGCTGTCCGACTAATAATTGAGCCAGAATCTCCTAAGGATGCTTCACATTGGTAAAGTCCTTCATCTGGCTTATGATGTCTGGAATGAAGTATGTTTTGTATCAGCAGAGACCCATTAGGTAGTTGCTGCTTTCTGTCATCCATACCCAAGGCTAGGATAAGGCCATCTTTCTTCCACTTGATGACTGGAACTCCGCGGTCAGACTCTGCAGAACAGTTGAGCAGGATGTTTCCTCCCCGCATTGTGACAGCATCAGAAGGTTCAGACACAAAATGAAGTGATGTGAAAGGTTTAATTTGGAAACCTGGAAGAAGAGAGGAGAAGGGAACTAAATCTATGCAGTCTGAGAAGTTGCAAGTTCAGTTTCTCCAACATTTCATCACAAATCATAGTTTTCAAAAAGCAGTTGTTTTTCTTGTTTTGTTTTTCCCTCCAATTATAGATAAATTTAAGAGCAGAAATTCTGTTAAACATAAGACAAATAATTATGTGAGCAACAATTAATGAAGCAATTAGCCCTGAAAATATTACTAGAAAAGAAATAATTCATAAGCTATAAATAAGAATATTACTACACCATTCATTACTTGAAAACTTTAGACAGTCGTAATTAGTATTTGCCACATAAAATCAGAAGATGTTAAGTCTGACAAGTCAATAGGACGATAGCTAAGATATGGTGGACCTGATTAATCCTATTATCTGCATTTTAGTATGATGTTTATTAGTATTCTGATAATTTCAAGGCCTTGACAAGTTCTCAGGAGGTCAGAGGGTTTGTTCACTTTGCTCAGACAGTTATGAACCTAAGCCACTCAAGTCAAGACATTTCAATTTTGACAATCTCTGAGGCTAACAGCTCTACAATTTTCCTTGGTGTTTTCTTTTCAACATTGGATCATTGCAAAACTTTAACTGTACTTTCTGGCCACTATTTTATTCCACTTTCTCCTGAACCACTTTGCATCAAAAAAGACATGTGATGATCAATTTCACGGAAGTGTTCCTTTATTCATTTAAAGCTACATTTGGTTTCATAAAAAATACTCATAAATCAAGCTGTAGCTTTCATTTTTCTCATGTTGACAACCACAAATTCTTTAGCATTTTTAATATTCTGGGAGAGGAATACTGTTGGTTATTTTGGGAAAACTTGCCAGCTTTCTGTGATTTAAATGGCAGACATCTTAATTAATGTAATTAGTATGATTACATTAATGTATTAATTAATGTAATTAGTATGATTAGTATGAATCATGAGATGACCCAAGTTGGCTCTCATGGTCAGAATCATTCCTGATTTTCAAGGAAGACACAGGTACTGCATCTGTTTTCTCCCAGGATTCCAAGACCACACCCCCCAGTGTTTCTAAAGCTAGATCTCAAGTCTGAGGCATGCCCAGGGTACTGCATCACCATGTTAAGTCCATGCTACCACTCACTTACCCAAGGAAAACATCTAAAACCTTGCTCAAACTCATATTGATTACAAAATCATAGTAACGCTAGAGTGATAAAGGACCCTGATGTCTCCAATCTGATCCTGTCAGGGCCAACTAAAGATCTTTCCCATACAGATCAACTTTTGTGTGCCCAGCTCACTTATAAGGAAGAAGTCTGTTTCTCTAATAGAAAGTACCTCAGATTGAGAATCTGAGTCTCTAGCTTCTTATCCTGTCTATATACTGTAAATATGTGCATTCCTAAATGTCACATTTATGTCATTTTATGTCCTCAGAACTCAGATCCTTCTCATGCAAAATGGAAGTATTCATGACAATAGAAGATCTTTCTATTTTGTAATAGAAGAGCACCTGTTTTGGAAAGGATTGGCACAAGAATGAGTTGAGGAAATCTATCAAGGGAACCTACGAAGTTTACTGAGCTGCAGGTAGATTCTAAGTCAATTGCAACCTTCTCATTTATAAGAAGGAGACACTTTCTAGCAAATACCTGGCTGGAGGTGCACTGAGGGTGGGAAAGCATACAAGAGTTCTAATGTTATTGAATGTCAAGATGTTCCATCAGAATAATGTCCACAATTTCCATTTAAGTAGCATTAAAACAGAAGAAATAAATTTAGAATGGAAGACTAGGCAACTATATTAAAAAAACATTTATTGCATTTTTGTTCTACCCGGGGCCTATATTTTAAACTCAACCTCATGCTGAGTACATTATTTATGTCACAGAGCACATAATACATTTAGCACAGCTGTTTATGACAGCATGTTAATGAGCATATTGTGCCCATTATCACAAATAAATAATCTCCTTACTCTAAAACAGGAGGCTATGACAGTTTTCAGTGCCGTGAGTACATGGTTTAGGGAAGTTAAGTAAAGATTAATTTTTCTGTAATACAATTACCCTTGCTGCTTGTTGGTAATTTGAGCTTTTTTGTACTCCTTATAACAATTATCCTTTAAATATATGGCTTTGAAATTACGAAAGCTCTTTGCTCTCAGGAGCTTGTCTTACTTAATATTTTAGAAAAGACAGACCCAAAGTGAGAAGACTTATTCGAGACATAACAAATGACGTTAATATCAATGTTTCAGCATACATGATGCTAGGGCTGTCTCTAACCCTCTTGTAAGGTGCCTCACATGTCTAAGAAATAATCCATTAATGTATCAACTACTGGTAATATAGATTAGCAACTTCTCATTTTCTCCTAACATGTTTAAATATGGGTTTTGTAGTAGCTTCAACTGGAGCGATAGACAACAGGAGGGGAGAGATAAAGGTCAACAAAAACACTAAGAATGTTCAGAGAAACCACAGGGAAACATAATATTTTGTAAACTAACTTTAAATCAATTGTATATGTGTGTATACATATATATATGTTTATATACATGTATATTAATGGAGTCATGCCACATGAGTAGTAATATTCCTATTAAGAGCCATGAGCTCTCTAACGATATTCCCAGTCCCAGGCATGAAAACCTGATCAGTTCTCATCTGGTTGGTTGGAGGAAAATATAAGGGTCTTAAAAAACAGGATGAGCCATATCTATTTCTGTTAGCTGTAATGGTTTACATGAGAAATGTCTCCCATAGGCTCCAGTATTTTAACACCTTGTCCATATCTGATGGAGTTGTTTGGGGAGCTTTAGGACATATGGTCTTCCTAGAGAAAATGTGTCACTGGGGGTGGGATCTGAGTGCCTACATTCTCATCCTACTTCTAGTTTGCTCCTCTGCTTTGCATTTGAAGTTTAATGGGACTTCCCAGCCTCCTGTTCTAATTTTGTGGTTTGCCACTTGCCCACTTGCCGCTATGGCTGCCTGCCGCAATGGATTCTTATTCTTCTAGAACTGTAAGTCAAAATAAACATTTACATAAGGAAGTTGCCTATGCTTATGATATTTTATCACAGAAGCCAAAAAGTAACTAATACAGTTGACTTCTTGAATGTAAGACTCTATTGCTGAAGACACCACAAACTTTGAGTACGGAATTTGGAAACCTTGACCTGGAATTGATCTAAAAGCCTCATCCCTGAGCACTGGAACTCCTCATAGCAGAAGACACTGTGCAAGCTGCCAAGGGAGAGAAACTGTCAGGAGACTTCCCAGCTGCAAAGTCTGAGAACCATGACAATGACTGGCCTAGCAAGGTCCCTCAAATAGACTGTCACTAATATCTTGATAACCAACAGCTATCTGTTTAAAACTAGGAACTTCTCAGTGGGAGGGAAATGGTGCCTTATCATTTAATGTTAGCCCACTAACCATAGTGCTTTGAGAGGTTATAAACCTGAAAGGAGATCCTACTATCATTTTCCAAAATCAGCATGATGTTTAGCCGTATTCTAAACAGATTTCATTATACCCACAGATAAGTGCAGTTTTAGCTTTCGTCAAGGATGTTTCTATATTCAATAGGTGAAGACAAGTACAGAGAGACACAACTGCCCAGAATGTGGAATAAAGGGACTACGGGGTACCCAGCCACCACAGATACATCTGTAACTCAAGTCTGCCACCAAAGGCTCAGGGAATAATGAATCACAGAGCAGTGGGGAGGAAAGATGACAAGAGCCAGGGGCCTGGTATGTCTGCTGCTTGATTGTTTCTCCTCCCCGGTATAATTGGGAAAATGTACGCAGGAAATATGATTGCATGAACATGGTGGCATGATGGCATGAGCTGACACACCAGTGGAGGAAGGGAAAATTCCACATGGTCTCACCCCTAGAAGTTTACCTATAAGAAGCCAGTGTTGCTGAGATCCAGATTCTGTGACTTTAATTATTCCAAACCTTATTTTTAATGAAGCTTCTTAAAAACTTTAACCTCCCTTGGAGCCCACTATCCACCAGAGGTTGTGGAAAAGAAAGAATATGGAGAATGGGGGAAGTGGACCTGTTTAGTAATGTTCTTTGGAGCAACTCTCATCTGTGTTGTCTGGAAATCGGCAGCTCAGTTCACAGGTTCTTAGGCAGCGGCAGCTTGTTCTACTCCCCAAAACTTTACAGATACACCAGCAGTCTAGTTTGGTAGAGTTGGCTTAGTGACAGCGGTGACTCAACCTAGCAGAGACAGTCAAGCCTCAGCCTTGGCTCAAGTCAGCAGGAGGGATGAACAGGAACAACAGGAAAAATCCTCCCCTGTGCCTCTCTCAGGGAAATGAAGATCAGCAAAGACTTGAGACCGCGACCCATAAGCTTTGCACAGCTAGCTGGAGCAGCATGCCAATCTCTGTCTCTGTCACTGTCCATCCATCCAGTCCTATTTATATCCTCCAAACATCACGTGTCCTTCATGGGCCTTGCTGCAGCATAGCTCTTCCCTCAGCACAGGTCTTGCCTCAGCATGTACATCCAACCAGCCCGAGTCCTTGGGAACGAAAAGGGCAACAAACTGCAGTACTCCACCAGAAGTTTTATTTTGGTGCATTTCTCTCTATGGTGTCCAGACAAATGTAGCTCAACTATGCAATGTAAGGCAGACCAATACATGTGTGTTGTTAGCAGAGAATCTTTCATCACATGTCCTTGCACGTGCTTGCTTTAGCAGAATATTACTTCTCCTGTGTCTGCTTCAGAGAAACAGTCCTTCATGAATTTGCCTTGTTCTTTCACATCTATGTCCACTTTAACGAAATGTTTCCTTCGAATGTTTGCCCCAACAAAACATCATTGAAACAACTTTCCAAAGAACCCTTAGGTTTCCACTTCAAGATTCTTCCAGAAACAAGTAACTGCATGATTTGTTCAGTTACAAGTGGACAGCTCTAGATACATGTGCATATGAGCACTGATAAGTGGAATCACTATGTTATATGGCTATGTGTACATGTGTATACATGTAACATAATAAATAAAGAAGATATCATGAATTTTTGAAGTGGAGAGATGATAGAGTAAGGGAGAAGGGGGCAGGAGTGATGTAAATGCAGGGCTCATGAGTGAAGGTATTAAATAAAAGTGGGTCTCTAACTTCTGCCCTCTCCAAATCTTGACTTGAGTAAATCTTTAGCCAAACATAAGTGAAAGATTTTATATATATATATATATATATATATATATATATATATATATTACACATATAGGTATATATATTTATATACATATATGTATATACATATACATATTCCCTTCCCATATATATATATATATATATATATATATATATATATATATATATGTATGTATGTGTGTGTGTGTTTCACAACTGATGAATTTTTCCATCATCCATATGTTTTATCTTTTAAAAATTTTCAGCCTAGGGGTTACGTTGAGCAGATAAGTAGTGTCTGTTTTTTTTTTTGTTTTTTTTTTGTTTTGTTTTTTTTTGCAGAAGAGGGCCTATTCTTTGAAGATGATTCTAAGGAGAATCATCTTAGTTTAGTTTCTTCAGATGTAAAAACAAAAAGAAGCAAAAAAGTTTTATTAGATATTCTTTGTAGTCAAATTGTCAGAATTTATATTCACAAGGAGAAACAACATATGGGCATGTCTTTGAGAGTCTTTCTCAGAGGAATTAGCCGAGATGGGTAAAGCCAGTTTGTATATGGTTGGGTATATCCCTTAGAAAAGGAGACCAGACTGACTAAAATGGAGAGGGGATATCAGAAAGTTAGACTTGCAGTTACATCTCCAACCACCTCTTTCTTGCACATCAACATGCACCAAGCTAAGTCAACCTTCTCACTGTTGCCACCATGCCTCCCACTCCCATGTCAGACTGTAAATTCCTCTGAACTGTGAGCCAAAATAAATGTTTCCTCCATAATATTGGGGGGGGGGCTAGGTATTTATTTGCAGCAAGAAAAAGTGGATAAAACTTACAAGTTCTTTAAAGTTATATTGAATATTTAGAGGTAGAAATTGTACTTAAATCAGTTTTAGAAACTCTCCTAAATAATTCAGGGTTTGACCTGTTTTTGTAAGTTTATATCCCTTTGTGCTTGATCTCCTTACCGTGTCATATTCTTGCTCATACCAAATCCCAGTGAGTCATATAGGCAGGCTAACCTAGAATGGTTGTATGATATTTTATCTACAATATCAAACATTGTTGAGTGTGAAAAATAATTCCCAGTAGAATCAGAAATCTTGTTCTGAGTCCACAGTGTGAAAGCTTGCAGTTAAGACCGTGAAAGGTAAAAGACAAATTGATGAAAAGCAGCACAGACGTGAAATGAAGTTTCTGAAAGTGCCCAAGATTAGAAAATGTCACACAAATCCCCACAGAACTGCTTTGCATAATTTCATCTATTTTAAATCACATATACTTTAAGATGCTCAGAGGTTTTGATGGTGCCCAAATCCTCAGAACTGAGCCAGATAACCCTGGCACCATCACCATTCCTTTAAACAAAGAAATGTATGTTGACAGAAATTAAAATAATTTTGTGAAAGATATATCCTACCTTGGGATCCCCAGACATCAGGGATATGTGGCACAGCAACTCTGGTCTTTAGTTCTGACAAAATTGTAAAATAATTTCAAGGCTATGAATTGAATTTGGGGATAAAAATCCACTACAAGAATCAACAGAACTAAACATACATGAATATCATGAGGGTTCAGTAGATAAAAATGTAAAGTTTGGAATAAGTTTCATACTAGCAAAGTCAACACCACGTGGAGACATGCTAAAACTATAGTCATAGACAGTGCAAAGACCTATCAATCAACAATGTTTGGGGGAGGTGTGCCTAGCAACCTGTATTTGGTAGTCCTTTCAGGGGACTCACAAGTAACTGAAGCTTAAGAACTCTGTTCACAAACAGCGAGGTCATGGCGTTCCCCAGAAAACTCATTCACAACTACACACACACACACACACACACACACACACACACTCATTTCAAATCTCTTTAAAAGGCTGAAGAAAGATGAGGAAGGAGAACCAGGACATAGGCCAACATTTACAGTATCAGAGCTCCCTTTTTCCTAACCAGAACTTTGCTGAGGTTCCCCCTCCCTGTTCCTACCCCCAACAAAACCTTTTATTAAGTAGAAAACAAAATTCCCACTTTGAGCAAAACTTATACAAACAGCTATTAAATGTGTCTTTTGAAGAGTTGTAACAGTGACAATTCCCT